AGCCTGAAGCTAAGGATGCCAAATATGGATGAAAATCTTGTGTGGCTGCCTTTGTGTTTGATGTCAGTGGGCGAGGGCTTTTGAAATTGGAATGGGAATCATCGTGTAATTTAAATCCATGTCTGCATTTTAAAAGTCTAAATCTACAATTTTATTTCACAATGAAATGGAAATATAAAGAATCACTGTCTAGTTAGGAGGGTATGTCAGGGACATCAACAATAGTGGGAAATATGGGATAATTTAAGCATAACGGGCTTCATTCAAAAACATGACAAAATTGATGGAAGCGTGTTGTTTTGCGATTTTGCTACAGGAAGTCTTAGAGCTAGCATCAAGAAGCTCTAAGGTTAGGACTTTGTGTCCAGGTACAGACTTTTTATTGGTGGACGACATTATTTACCGGTACTGAAGAGGTCCAGACACTTAGGGAGAACTCATGCTAAGCTTAGGTTCGAAACTTCCCTAAGCCGGGGGGGGGGGGAGTACACTGTCTATGAAACTTAGACTGCCTTGCTACATGTTTTTTTTTCAGCAACGGCGAGCCTGTGTAACCTTAGGATGGGTGACCGCTTCACGTCATAATTATAAATACATGTGCAATGTACATTATTTTAGAAGCATAATAACAGACCCGACTACCACAAATACTAAATACAGATTATATGTGATTGTCAAAAGGACAGGGAATTACATAGCTGTCCTCGATGGGAATATTTTCTCTTTCATACACGTAAGATAAATATATTTGTCTGTTCTTTGTTTTAAAAAATATGTAACCTTATTCAGCTTCATATCAATAATGAGTATATACTTAGAATTAAAAAGCAGGGACGAGGTATCACTTTTTCTCCCGACATTACCTTTACTATAGAAAATGTTCACTCAAAGTAAGGTTGGACCCCCCAAAAACTTTGAATTAAAAGGTAGTTGGTCTTGAAAAAAGTTAGCCACAACCCCCACCCTCAACCCACGAAATAGGATTTTCGACTTTGAGCAACTTTAAATTTCTCGTTTTTTTTTTTTTTCTTTTTTTTTTTTTTTTTTTTTGCTCGTCAACTTTTTTAGGTAAGTAAAAAAAAAATTCTCAGGTTGTCCCCCCCCCCCTACTCCAGCATGCTAGAGGTCGGTTCATGGCAAAATACTTTTGACTTGGCGCCGCGTAACCGAGGTATATAAGGAGCGTAGGGACGTTAACCGAGGCTCTTACTTGTAGGAGTAACCCCCCCCCCCCAACTTTCGAAAACGATGCTACGTGCCTGAAAAATACTATACTGGAGTATTAAAACCGAAAGAAAGTAATGCATAGATAATGTCTTAGCTAAATCAAAAATAAATCTTAAATAGGAAAAAAATATCAAGGAAAATGCTGACATATAAAAACTGATTTTTATATTGCAGTCAAGATTTATACGCAGTAAAATAGCACACCTTGCACTTTCAAGTGTACATACATAAAATTATGTATGTATATTTCCGTACATGTGTATACCTAAATAAGTAAATAAAAGATAAGCATGATTGTATCGTATACTGGTATTTCAAAATTTAATGTAGTATTTCAATTAATATCATGCATTTTAGGGAAATGGAGAGGGTAAAAAATTCTGACAATAAGTACGCTTTCTTGATGAAATAGTTTTTCTCGGAAAATTATCTCCTTAATTGACCCTTGGTTATTGTAAATATCAATTTATATAAAGAAAAAAAATGAAAAGTTTAATTTAGAACAGATTAAATAAAAAAGGATAAGTAAAAAATAGACTTAAATATGAATTTATTTAAGAGAATATATTTTTTAGGTTGAGAAATGTACAATTCTTAACGCTGTACAGGAATCATTACGTTAAATTTGATAACGCCATGTGAACGTTACGACGTCATGACGTCGTCAGTGTTATTTTCTTAAGAAAACATTGCATTTTTAGGGAGTTGTGTAGGGAAAACGGTTTGAGATATTTTCAAAAAATAAATTGATTTAGAACAGGGGTATCCAAGAACATCATTTAAATATTATCGCCAGATTTTGGGACTAGGCGGATTTTGGTGCCTAACGTACCTTCTTTTTAACAATTTGAACGCAAAACCTTCTCTTAGACCCGAATCTTGTCCTCTCAGTGGAATTTTTCTATCTACCACTCATAGTACTGAATGGTTTGATTATTATATCATAATTCCATCTTATTGTAAAAACAAACTGGGCTAAATATTTATACAAACACTGCATATTTGTTTCAGTTCAACAACCCATACAAGTTCTAGTAACATTGGCGTTAGAAGCAAATTGGAAGTGGGGAATGATTCAAAAAGAGAAAAAATCCAAACTAAAAAGAAATTGACAAGCAAATAAGAAACCAGAAGTCTCTAGCGAGACTGTACATGTAGCTCTTCTGAAAATACTTGAAACAAAGGAAGATACATATTAAAGTAGCAGTTGGGACTCGAAACTTTAAAACAGCAATAAATAGAAAAATGATCCTTGCCACTCATCAAAATAAAATCCAATGCACAGAATTATGTATCTTATACCCCATCTATACGACAAAAAAAATTGCAAATGTGTGCAAATTTACATATAAGTAAATCTACACACGTAAGTAAAAGTTAATTTGCTATGCCTTCAGATTTATGTACTGTAAGTAAATCCTCATATTTTTTTTATATTTTTATATAAAACAAGGGAATAGATACATGTAGACTCTTGTGAATTTTAAAGAAGTATTTCTTTACTGTTTGGGTACAAGACTAACAATCTCAAAACAAAGTCCAGCAGATAACAACAATCTAGACACAAAATATTTTTGTAGGCTGTAGCAGAGTCGCTGGATGTAAAGAAAAAGGTGACTGCAGTTTGTCACTGCTTGATGTCTTCAGCAGAAATAGGACGATTGGAATCTTTTTTTTTTGGTGTTAGGAAATTTACAGTGCAATAAGTGTTTGAGACCATTATAAAATATCTGATTGAATAACATAATAATGTATTTTCCAGGAGAATGAAAAGGATAAAGAAAACTAACAGTGGTCGATCTCAAAAATCCTAGAACAATACAAATATGTAAATAGGTAATTAACACAAACCCCTAGAAAATCATGGTGGGATCAGGTGCCAAGGAGGAAAATTACGTGTGTTTACTTTCAACGATTTTAACGAAATTCCTGTAACATCAATTTATATTTGAGGAGCTTGCCTGAATTAAAAACTGAGAAAGGTAGTAGAAAGGCATCAAGAGCTAAACTGTTATGGGGCCCTATCATAGCTCCAGAGCATTCCCAATGAGATAATGTGAATAGTAAGGACACTACTATTGATCCTACAGGGCACTTGTTTGCGACCACAGCTATATATATCTTTACAGACATGAACAAAGGTTTGCCAGAAAGGTGCATGATGACCTCGTATTTAGAAAACTCGAAAATTTATCTCGGAGGAGATACTGGCTCCTTGTTAAGAGTTTTGCCTTCTAGCCACCATCTGTCCACTGAATAAAATATATATAGAATTATGTATCCTAATATGTACTTGTGTGCCAAGTTATGTTGAAATCGGACCAAAATTGTATGAGGAGTATAGCAGTTTCAAAAATTGTTTACAGACAGACAGACAGATAGACGAACGGATGACGGACGCATTACTATCGCAAAAGCTCTTCTAGTCTCTGACCTGTAGAGCTAAAAGAAATGGTCATTGTACAAACCTGGAAATCCTATCTCTTGGGGGTTGGTGGGGGAGTTAACAATTTTTCCCAAACACTGGCACTTACCCTTCTTTCACTATACTGAAGGGTGCCTGTTGAAAGTGAAGATGGGGGAGGGGGGATATGCCCCAATTTTCAATGCCTATACATGTATCATGTCTAATTTTGAAAAAAAAGATGAGAGGGGGCTCCCACCACTAACCTTTGACAAGGTCAGAAAAGGACTCGCAATTAAAAGGGCTGTTTAAGGACCTGGAAAAAATTTATTTAGTGATTAAATCATTCATACAGTGAAAGTAATTTTCCTTTTAAAATCTAAATTAAATACATTCCTTGTCCTGCATTTTCAGGACAGTGGGCGTCCTCATTATCTTGCGGAGATTAAAAAATTATTATGACAACGCCTTTGAAAACATATTCATACTTTGTAAATACATACATGTACTTGAAGTTAATGTATTGCAGATGTTGAATATTCTTCCAATAAAAGAAAAATTTCTGTTTTAGGTATCAGGTACACTAGTTAAAAAAAACTTTTAAAGAAAAAAAAATTAAAGATTTCCCTCAGATAAAAAATAGATGTATACACAACTGGAGATAGATAGATAGGATGATTCTAAATTTTAATCTTTTCTTAACTTCTCAATGCAGGCAGATCACCGATATCTCAGGTATTTAAAGCACGTGATATGGAGAACAGGTAAATATTTAGAACAAAGACAAGGAAGTATAATGTAATGTACGGGTCTAACAGAGAGGACATGTTTGATTTTGAGGTGAGAAATAAAATTTAAGATTTAATATGTTATAAGATATTTCCAGGTGTCATTTCTGATTTCAAGTCTAGTAAAATGCATTAAATGTAACTAAAAAGTACGAGAGAGCCACTTTAGATCGATCATACTGACTACATCAAAATTGTTTTTACTGTTGTGAATATAAGTATCAACATTTTATTTTTCAAACATAAGGAAAATTCACACAATATCTTTAAACTACAACATGATCATTCCTTTTCTTTTGAACCAATTTTGTATTACAATTTCTCAAATAAAACAAAACTTACATTGATTCGTGTAAAATTACGTAACATTTCTTAAGTCACTGACTCACGTCTCGATTTACTTCATTCAGGGCCATCACACTATTTGACAAACCCCCAGTGATGGACCCCCTGGACAGAGCTCAAATTCTCCTCCTCTGTGATCTGTGTCAAACAGCTGCATTACAGAGTCACTGTGAACTTTGTCAGATTAACCTGTGTAAGGCTTGTGTAGGGGAGCATCTCTTTGATTCATCAAAAAGACACAATGTTGTACCATACAAACACAGAAAATCCACTCCTACCATGAACTACCCAAAATGTCCAGACCACCCCCGGAAACATTGTGAACTTTACTGTGAGAAATGTGAAATTCCCGTCTGTTCTACCTGCATCTCCTCGGGTAAACATCATGGTCATGAATTAAAAGATATCTTGCAGGAACCGAGCTTTATTAAAGAAATTTTTAAGACAGATCTGAAAGAACTAGAAAAAAGAATATATCATCAGATTTATACTCTGAAAAAGTAAAGTTGGAAAAGCATTACGAGAAACTGACGACATCTGTCATCAAACAAGGAGAAGAATGGCACAGAGAAATTAACATCATTGTCAACAAACAGAAATCTGAAATTGATGAGATGAAAACTAAACATCTGGCTGCTTTAAATAAAGAGGAAAATGAAATCAAACAGATTACTTCTGAAGTAACACACAGCATAGTTGATCTGAAGAAATTACTGGACTCCAATGATATATCCATAGCATCTACATACATATCCAAGAATGCTGAATTTAGAAGATTACTTCCTAGATTAAAAGTCTTAGTACCAAGTTTTTCCTCTCATCCTATAAACAGAGAACAGGTCTATCAAATGTTTGGTTCTCTGTCAGCATTATCCATTATACATGTAACAGATGAACATGGCTACACAATGAAGACACCAGAAGCTGTATCCTGTACTCCAGTCAAACCACTGCTTGATGAACCAGAGCTCATCACCACCATACACACTGAGTATATTTATCTAACAAGTACGTGTTACCAGTGTCTCAGTGATGAAGAAATCTGGACAAGTGGAAATGACAAAATCATAAATCTCTACAACCTCCAGGGTAAAGTACTGAAGTCAATCCAAACCAAGTCTGGGAAGTATCCATGTGACATAGCAGTGACAAGGAGTGGAGATTTAGTTTATACTGACCGTGTTACAAGAACTGTAAACATAGTGAAGAATAAACAGATACAGGAAGTGATCAGACTACAGGGATGGATACCTCTCTAAGTCTGTATTACCTCCTCTGGTGACCTCCTGGTTACCATAGTCAGTGATGATAAACAATCAAAAGTTGTCCGTTACTCTGGCTCCACAGAGAAACAAACCATTCAGTTTGATGATAAGGGTAGACCTCTGTTTTCGTCAGGTTACAATAGTAAAAACATCAGTGAGAACAGGAACCTGGAAATATGTGTGGCTGACAATGGAGCCCATGCAGTAGTGGTGGTTAATCAGGCAGGAAAACTCCGATTTAGATACACTGGTCATCCCTATACTAACAAGGGATTATTTGATCCACGTGGCATCACAACAGACAGCCAGAGTCAGATCCTGACAGCAGACTTTGATAACAACTGTATCCACATCCTAGATCAGGATGGACGGTTCCTCCGTTACATTGATAACTGTGATCTATACCGGCCATGCGGTTTATGCATGGACAACAGAGACAACATCTTTGCGGCTGAGAATAACAGTGGTAAAGTGAAAAAAATCAAATACATGTAAACAATGTGTTTTAAATAAATAAGGACAAGTTTATGATAGAATATTTTTCCAGTAGCAAAAATCACAAGATGTAGTTTATTTCACTTTCTAGTGTTGATGTGTGTGTGTGTGTGAAAATATTTTTATGTTCCTTAGTTCTCCTGCCAGACAACTGGGCTTGTTTTTTGGTTAAAGCAGGCAAAAACAAACAACATCATTGAAGTGAAAAAATGTCATTCATTGAAGTAAATGACGTAAAATTAATAAAAACATATTTACAATACAAGTGTGTGGTCAGAAAGTTTTGTGTTCGGACTTAAATATAAAATATAACATATATTTATCACAATATTGCACAATCTGACCCCCAGCACCATAATGTCATTGTAAATGTTATATTTTCAATATATCAACAAGGTATAATATATAGTAAAAAAATTCAATAATTAATAATAATCATTTCAGAATTCTACCCAAGATGGAAAGAAAGATAACATTACATTGGAAGAAAAAAGTTCAATATTTTAAAATGACCAAATGAATACCATGTATATTTGCAAGCATGAAGAAAGAAGAAATATGATGTACATTTTTTTCAAATTGATCCTGTTTCCTGCACTGCACACTGAAGGGTTGTGATTATACTGTACTTTTGATGTAGTTAGAATAATATGCCCTTAGATCTAAAATAAATGCTTATACTTTTTAACATTAGTTATATGTAATTTATTTAAGAATCTTAATTGACCAAGATAAATTAACCACTTTATTTCAATGTTTCTTCATGGATTCATTAAGACTCATAAGGCTCAAGATAACAAAGTTTGACTGTATAAGTAACCCAAAACAAAGATGAGAGATCTGATTCAGGAAACTTTTTATTGTGGATGTTTTCATTTTAATTCACATACATTTTTAATACATATGGTCAAAAATGATTTCAACAGATATATCAATGCATCAAGTTACATGGGATATCAGCTCAGTAAGTCCACTGTCAGTAGAACGTACTAAATATTAAAAGGTCATATCAAATTTTATAAACAACATTGATTATATCAGTATATGTAGCCGTAGATATTTGTTTTTAAAACTTATCAGCTTGATCCCCGTGGTGAGCCTCGATAGTCTTCTTACTCTCCTTATGAGGGCCTCCACAAAGCTGTTGTGGGTGCTGGATTTACAGTATTCCTAAACAAACAAACAAATAATGGATTAATGGTTTATATAAATCCAAAGACATTTTTCATAAGTGATGAATTAAGCATTCACAATGCTCGTTTTACTACTTCAAACATCAGTGCATTAGCCAATCAAAATGTTTTGGAATTTAATTCCTATACATATATATCCCCCTGTAAAACTTTGACCGTCTATTTGATCGTTTATTGAACCTTAGGGCTCATGATTTGAACAAATTTGAATTTACACCACCTGAGAATGCTTTAATTTCACACAAATATGACCAATCACTGCTTTGCTGTTCTTCAAAAGCATTTTTAAAGATTTTCCTAAAAAAATCATTGTAAAACTTTGATTGTCCATTCATGATTGTGGCCCCATTCTACCCCCCCCCCCTTGGGTTTCATGATTTGAAGAAACTTGAATCTACACTGACCGTGATTCCAATCATATGAGTTTAATCTTTCCTGGCCTAGTGGTTTGATCTTGAAAACGATTTTTTTAAAATGATGCCAATATAATTTTTCACTAATTCGTAATTATCTCCCTTGAGAGAGGGTGCGGCCCTTCATTTGAGCAAACTTTAATATTCTTTACCTAAGCATGGTTATAATGGCAAGTTTGGTTGAATTTGGCCTGTGGTTTTTGAGAAGAAAATGAAAATGAGGATACATACATGTACATACTTTGAACATTTTTAAACTAAACTTTAGAAAAAAACAATACTACCATAAAAATGACATAATGAACAAAATCTGCTTCCACAAATACATAAACATAATAGTATTTACCTCTTGAGTCAGCGTGAGTCAGTTAACCGCTGTAGTTAGAGCTAGTTCACGTAGAGAAGGGAGACTTAAACTCCTGGGATGCCTGGTGTCTCGTAGAATTCGGTGGAAAACTTCTCCGTGAGATGAGATAAACTGCATCACCTATAACAGCATGGTATGGTGAGCATTACTGTAAAATGTTTGTCGGAGTCTGATATTTCAGGATTAAATCCTTCCTGGTTCACCCTCACCCATGAAATTACATTCCCATGACAATATTTTTTTAAATGCATCAATTACTCGATTCTAATCTATTTTTAAGTATGCTTTAAAATTATGTCTACAAGAACGTGTAAATTGATGCTGATACCCATAAGTCAAAGTATGACAAATTCTACTTGATATGCAGACTTTCTAGGGAACTTATCTAAATAAAGCTTTGAGTCCATGAGGGGATCTGCATTAAAGAAATATAGCTGTACAAACTATTCACCTGATTGCCACAATCCTGGTTTTCTATGCCCAGTGAGGTCAGCATGGCCAGACAGAATTTGAGGGCGGCAAAGAGAAGTTGACGATAGCGGGCCATGGGGCTGGGCAGGAAGTCCTCCTCTGTATCTACACCGGCTTCATCTCTGTAAAACGTACAATACGGTCAATAATCAATGCAAGTATGAATTGCTTGGGCAAAACTTACAAAACTTTTAATCCTCATTTAGTATATATACAAACCTCCAAACTGTAAATCGTAAAATGCTACATATTGTGATACATATTGTATTGTCGCTCAAACATTGTGATACGTATCGATATAGAAAAGCTTGTATGGTCCCAGCCCTAAATTGGAAGTTATACTTATAGCAAATTCAATATATACGAGGGTTGATCCAAAAGTCGTGGAATTTCTTCATATTTTATTTATTTTTCAGTGGAATTGGTTGAAAATTACAAATGAAAATAAAGACACTTGATGAATATTTTAAATTAAAAAACATTTTAAATATCTTTAATAGTAACTTTATGGCAGTTACCATAGAAACGGTTGTTTGGAAATGCGGGGGAGACATTAACGCGTTTATAATCATTTAAATTCTAAATTCGTGAAATAAGAATTAAACTGCCCTATGTGGTATATAAAAGGAAAATTATGTCATTATTACGATTGCTTGATCTTTTATAAACCTTTGTGTGAGAGTTTTACTGATTTTACTGGATATTTCTTCATCAGTTGGTGATTTATTGCTCATCTTTAAGTTGTTAGTTAACATCAAATTTTGGACCAGTAACAAGTTTTGTGAAAATCCCGGGATCACTCGATCTTAAACGCGTATATTATTGACATAAGCATGGGAAAAATGCATTTAGTTACTGGTTTCCCAGTGGCATAAGAAACTTAAGAAAAATAGAACTTTCATGGACGTTGATTAAAGGTGTTGTCGCTTTTTAGAGGCTCTGTTTAAGTACGTATCCCACTAGACAAATTATTTAACAAGTTTTTTTTCAGTCTCATCTATGAGTAGGTCTTCGCGATCGCTCCATGTTTTTTGAACGATAATCCCAAACATTTGCAATACATGAAATATTAATTTTTTTTTTTCGTTTACAAAAATATAGAGCGAAGACCCACTTTACTAAACAATACACTTTTATGAAAAAACAATTGCATCTTTCGGAGAAGTACTTGAAGTCCATTAAAACTTGGGTCATATCACAAACATGCTTTAATTGCCCCAATATTCATCATGAGTCATGTAGCGTAGTGGTTAGAACGTTAGTATCAAAGAAACATGATACTTTGGAAATTTTATTGCTAAAGTTCCAATCCACGAATACCATCTTAGATATATATTTAATAAAAGAAAAAAATCCGAGATTTTTTTTTCTCCCAGAAAGGACTCTGTGTTGATGTTGAGATTGTTGTTATCTGCTGGACTCTTTGTGTTGAGATTGTCTTTATCTGTTGGACTCTTTGTGTTGAGATTTTCTTTATCTGCTGGACTCTTTGTGTTGAGATTGTCGTTATCTGCTGGACTCTTTGTGTTGAGATTGTCGTTATATATTGGACTCCTTGTGTTGAGATTGTCGTTATCTGTTGGACTCTTTGTGTTGAGATTGTCGTTATCTGCTGGACTCTTTGTTTTGAGATTGTCGTTATCTGTTGGACTCTTTGTGTTGAGATTTTCGTTATCTGCTGGACTCTTTGTTTTGAGATTGTTGTTATCTGCTGGACTCTTTGTGTTGAGATTGTCGTTATCTATTGAACTCTTTGTGTTGCGATAGTTGTTATCTGCTGGACTCTTAGTGTTGAGATTGTCTTTATCTGTTGGACTCTTTGTGTTGAGATTGTCGTTATCTGCTGGACTCTTTGTGTTGAGATTGTTGTTATCTGCTGGACTCTTTTTGTTGAGATTTTCGTTATCTGTTGCACTCTTTGTTTTGAGATTGTTAACTGCTGGGATCTTTGATATTATCATAATCACATCTTATATATCGTAAATATTTATATACATGTAAATATTAACACAAACACTTCATAATATTATTTGCTTCAGTTCAGTAACCCGTCAAAGTTCTAGTAGCTTTGGGATCGGAAACTAATTGGAAGGGGGAAAGATTTCAAACCTGAAAAAAAAAATTGAAAAGCAAATAAATGACCATTGTCTGAACTTGAAAATCCTATTTCGTTTGGGGGGGGGGGGGGTAACAATTTTTCCCCCAGACACTAGGCAGTACCACTTACCCATCATTGACTACAATGAAACTTAAACATGCCTGTTGAAAGGGTGCGAAAAGAGAGGAGAGGGATAGGAGATTGGGGAAAACCTATGCTACTTGATGTCATACATGTCTATCTTTTGCAAATTCAAAAGGGGGAGGGGCTAATAATTCCCCCCCCCCCTCTGGCTTCCGACGCTAATGGGTAATGCAGACAGAACTGTAGAAAACTTAAAAAGTTAGAAAAAGGACTCGCAAATGGCTGTTCAAGGAATAAGAAAAGGTTGATTTAAGAATGAAATCATTTATACAGAGAAAGTGATTTTCTTTTAAAATAAAAAAAATTCTTTGTAGCACATTTTCAAGTCAGTAAAACAGAGGACATCCTTATAATCGTACGGAAATTCAAGAAATTGTGATGACCCGGCCTTTGAAAACAGATACGTGCTTCGTAAATAAATACAAGTACTTTAATTTTAAGTCATGCAATAGTATAAAGTTATAGATAAGATGTTGACAATTCGTGCAGTTAAAAAAAATGTATGTTTTGAAGGTTTATTTTGTCGCAATTTTCGCATATCCTTAATAGCATGCATGAATTTACCCGTCGGTAAGACTTAAATAATGATCTGAAAATACCAGATACACTTATCTTGTTCATATTATAATAATTATAACTTACACATATATTTGTTCTACAAATTTAAATAATAATAATCAATAAAAAATATTTCGAAGAGTTTCAAAGGACAAAAAGCTGGAGATAAAAAAAGACTGAAATGGTGACTCTAAAGTTCATTTTCATGGGTTTAATGACCATACAATTGTAGTAAATCCCACCAATCATTTTAATTTATTCTGAAATAAACCTCTTTCTATATATATATATATTCAACATATAAAGATTGATATAGATAGCTGAGGTATTTAAATCACGTGACCTGGAAACAGGTAAATATCTAGTATGAAGACAAGGAAGTAAATTGTGATGTACAGGATTATCAGGAGGCCATGATGGATTTAGAGGTAAGACAAGATTATATTTAAAACATTTAAAATGTTGCCAGACATTTTCAAATGTCATTAATGATCTTAAGTCTAGTACATGTATAATACATTAGATGAAATGCATGTATAAAGTGTTTTAAAACATCTTCCTTTTTCAAACAGAAGAAAAGTTTTACGCAGCATTTTTCAACTACAAATACAGGGGCGTAGCAACGGGGGGGGGGGGAGGGGGGGAGGGGGCAGGAAATTAAACACTTTTTTTCCCAGCCTTACTTATACTATAGGAAATGTAAATTGAAAGCCTGGTTGCCCCCCCCCCCCCACACTTTGAGTGATGCACCGAAAAATGTAGTATTAGAAAAATCAATTGGTACTGAAAATTGACACTAAGAAAAAAGTTTACCAACATACAAACACCCCCCCCCCCCTAACCATCCCCACGGAATAGGATTTTCGACTTTTGGCAACTTTTTTCCTTTTTTGTTTTGCTTGTCAACTTTTTCAGGTAATTGAAAAAATATTTTCTCTGGCTGGCCTCCCCACTTTCAACGACGATGCTACGCCACTGCAAATAGATCCTTCCTGTTACAAACCGACTTAGTCTTACATTTTCACAAATAAATCAAACCTCTTCAATCGTACTTGTTTAAAATTACTAAAATTTTCTGTAGCCAGTAATAGCGAGCGCAGCGAGCGTCGCGAAGCGACGCTCGTCACTGCGAGCTCTTAAAGCAACGCCTGTGCGAAGAGAAAATTCGGACTACTGCACATTCCTTCAATAGAATTTTTTGATGCCGTAATTTGGACCCACAATCCATCACTTGTTTAAGGGGGATATACGGTCACTTTTAGTGCAGTGAGAGCAAAATGTAAACATTTCTTCAAATGGCTAAAATACATTATATTTTGATCAAATTTTAAGTCATTTTGATAAAGATACAATAAATATACATAACCGAATGCTTGTTGTGCATATATAATCTATACTTTTGCAGAAAAATGCTTTTGATATGCTCCTTAGAACTGCGCACTACAGAATTCAGCAGAGCCTTAAAAAATCCAAAAAAATATGCAAACTGTGCATTAATGTTCTCTCTACAAGCATTTGTTGAGAAAATGTCTAATTTTTGCACTTTTAAGGACAGATGATACAAACAAATTTTTTTTTTGGAAAAGATTTAATATCATGTCACAAGTTTAGAAATGTGGATAGTTCTTAGAATTTTTTCTCCTAAGAACTGGGAAATGAAAAAGACTTGGAAAATATTAGTAATATTTCAATGAAAAAACAAAAATATACAAATCACATTTAGTAAAAGTTTACAGGTGAAAACAAATTTAAGATTATGTTAACATAGTGCTAAAAGTGTAATATAAACTTAAGAAAAATATACCAAGCCAGGTGAATTTTATTAGGAAAAGCTAATTGGTAAAAATCAGCCTATGTGATATTACTAATTTTTTTTGAAATTTTGATCTTCCTCTTAAAATTCACCTGGCTTGGTGTTTTTTTCTTAAGTTTAAATTAAACTTTTAGCGCCAAGATAACATATTTTGAAATTTGTTTTCAATTGTAAACCTATAGTGAATGTGTTTTCTCTATATTTGATTTTCTATTGAAATATTACTAATATTTTCCAACTCTATTTCATTTTTCAGTTCTTCGGAGAAATAATAAGAAAGAACCATCCACTTTTCTAAACTTGTGACATGATATTAAATCTTTTTCAAAGAAAAAATTTGTTTGTATCATCTGTCCTTAAATGATAATTTCAAGTTCTAAACAAGGTACCATTGTCTTCAAAAAAGAGTGTAAAGAACCATGAAAGTAGTTCATGGATAGCAGCACGTGGTCTATTTTTAGCACAGAATCTTGTTTTCCAAACCTCTTCTTAATATGGAGGGGCATAACAATCTTTAAATGTAGAAGAGAATTACAGTTGAAAAATATTCCAAATAATATATGAACACTTTTAAAAGAGGAAAGGTGTTATAGTGTGGCTTGAAGTAATTTATTTAGTATTATTATCGAACAGTTGTTGTATAGTTTACGTATTGATATAAAAAAAATTAAACTCTTTGATTCCAGGTAAGGAAAAATGAGCACCATCAAAGTTAAAAATTAAGAGTTTGTAAGTTTGCCACAGATAAATTATATTATCTATTAAAATTTAATAATCTACAATAAAACACAAAGAAATTAGACACATAAAATTGATACGAATGACCTTGTTTTAGTACCTACTAGTACGAAGCGTTATCGAAAATTTCGCGAAATATCTCTATATCTACAAAACCACAGTTCAGATTAGATAGCCAAACACAAGTTTTATAAATAGCATATGCTGAAGTTTTGATCCTTGTTTGTGATGTCAATCTGAAAATGACGTCATTATTCAGGTACTTTTGACGAAAAATGGTTGTCTCAGTGGAACTCGTGGCACATGTATATCTTAGAAATGCCTTTGAAGTAGCGTATAAGAATTTGTTCATGTGAATTAGTTTATCAAGGTAGGTCCGTACCTTTAGATTTTTCTGTCAAACTGATAATTTTTCAATTTGAATACCCTGAACAAGTCTTAAACTTAATAAAACACCCATAAAAGACATATCTTTGCAGGTTAATTTTCATACAACATGTCTCAGCGCACATACCTCTAAAAACTCAACAGCCAAAATTGAACATAAAAACGTGTGATATCATATTCCTTTTAGTTATGCACCAAATCACATCAAATTCATGTAAAAACTTATGAAGATCAAAAATATTCATTTGCCAAGAGAATATTTGAAATCTTTACTGCAAAACATTAGCGAGCGACGCTCGTCACTGCGAGCTCTTAAAGCAACGCCTGTGCAAGAGAAAATTCGGACTACTGCACATTCCTTCAATAGAATGTTTTGATGCCGTAATTTGGACCCACAATCCATCACTTGTTTAAGGGGGATGTACGGTCACTTTTAGTGCAGTGAGAGCAAAATGTAGACATTTCTTCAAATGGCTAAATTACATTATATTTTGAACAAATTTTAAGTCTTTTTTGATAAAGATACAATAAATATGCATAACCGAATGCTTGTTGTGCATATATAATCTATACTTTTGCAGAAAAATGCTTTTGATATGCTCATTAGAACTGCGCAACTACAGAATTCAGCAGAGCCTTAAAAAATCCAAATAATATGCAAACTGTGCATTAATGTTCTCTCTACAACCATTTGTTGAGAAAATGTCTAATTTTTGCACTTTTAAATGATAATTTCAAGTTCTAAACAAGGTACCATTGTCTTCAAAAAAGAGTGTAAAGAACCATGAAAGTAGTTCATGGATAGCAGCACGTGGTCTATTTTTAGCACAGAATCTTGTTTTCCAAACCTCTTCTTAATATGGAGGGGCATAACAATCTTTAAATGTAGAAGAGAATTACAGTTGAAAAATATTCCAAATAATATATGAACACTTTTAAAAGAGGAAAGGTGTTATAGTGTGGCTTGAAGTAATTTATTTAGTATTATTATCGAACAGTTGTTGTATAGTTTACGTATTGATATAAAAAAAATTAAACTCTTTGATTCCAGGTAAGGAAAAATGAGCACCATCAAAGTTAAAAATTAAGAGTTTGTAAGTTTGCCACAGATAAATTATATTATCTATTAAAATTTAATTATCTACAATAAAACACAAAGAAATTAGACACATAAAATTGATACGAATGACCTTGTTTTAGTACCTACTAGTACGAAGCGTTATCGAAAATTTCGCGAAATATCTCTATATCTACAAGACCACAGTTCAGATTAGATAGCCAAACACAAGTTTTATAAATAGCATATGCTGAAGTTTTGATCCTAGTTTGTGATGTCAATCTGAAAATGACGTCATTATTCAGGTACTTTTGACGAAAAATGGTTGTCTCAGTGGAACTCGTGGCACATGTATATCTTAGAAATGCCTTTGAAGTAGTGTATAAGAATTTGTTCATGTGAAGCAGTTTATCAAGGTAGGTCCGTACTTTTAGATTTTTCTGTCAAACTGATAATTTTTCAATTTGAATACCCTGAACAAGTCTTAAACTTACTAAAACACCCATAAAAGACATATCTTTGCAGGTTAATTTTCATACAACATGTCTCAGCGCACATACCTCTAAAAACTCAACAGCCAAAATTGAACATAAAAACGTGTGATATCATATTCCTTTTAGTTATGCACCAAATCACATCAAATTCATGTAAAAACTTATGAAGATCAAAAATATTCATTTGCCAAGAGAATATTTGAAATCTTTACTGCAAAACATTTACAAATTGGTGTTGAATCCGTACATGTCTTTCAGAAAAAAAATCTCATAATATCTTTATTTTTTTAATTCTCAAAATTCTAAATGTTTAGGTGCCATATTTTCTTTAAAACTATTAAGAATTATATCTAGTGTTAACAAAAACACATACATGTACTTTATTATGGTTGACCAGAGAATTTTAACAAAACAGTCTTTTGAAAACGTATACCCCCTTTTTTGGAATATCAATTTTTTCAATTATTCAATGGAAAATTTTTAAAAAGTAAAAATTAAATGAATGATATAGGCTCTAAATCAATAAAAATAGATCTCATGTTAGTTTGCTTAAAAGAAAATTAAAAAGATTATGTCCATAACAGCAATTAAGAATTTTGTGTCTGTGTATGTACTAAATGACATATAGATCTTATGGACAGAGTGTAAAGTGTTAATTTCCATAAGTAATGTATATTAAATGCTTCATATGTACAATAACACTATAATAAACAAATATATACTTGCTAAATCATTTTCAATCACCCAAAAAATTTTATATCAATAGAAAAGTGAAAATCAGAATTTTATATTGATGTGTAAAAGTGTGGGCCTTCCTTAAATGGCTTCCTATTATTTCAATCAATGATTGGATATCGTTTTAGTGAAGGTAGGCAGATGGTTAAATATGATACTTGTTATGTTGCCCGGTGAAAGCAAGTTTGAAAAGGGATGTGTTTTTAATAAAGCAATATGCTATCAAAGACCTTCAATTAAAATTTTACACTTTGAAAAATACTTGCATATTTCAGCAATAATATAATTATCAAATACGTAAGATATTGTTAACTTTTTGATCACCCCTCGTATACTGTGTCAAATAAACATGCATTTATAATTTTCATCACAGAGGAGCAACAGTTGAAAAGGCATGAAATCATTCAGAGTGGGTTAGGAGATTTAATGAATAATTTTCTTTTCTATTTGCCCATATTTTCAAAATTACAATTGAAAAAGTAAAGAGAAAAAATCAACCTATAAACATCTTTAAAATGATGTTTGGTGGTCCTCCCAACTCAGGGAAAAATTATTGGTTTTTATAGGTTTCCGTATTTATAGGTGAGAAAAAAAATCCTTAAAATTTAAACAGAATTGTTGACGGAAGAAAAAGAAAAAAATATCGTGTAATGGAATGTTAAAAAAATGAGTCGGGCCATTTCTAGGCAGTAGATCGGGGGAGAGGGCAACCAAATATTTATAACAAGTGGTACTATAAGGCTAGTACATGTTCCATCACATACTTAGTAATGCAATTTTTTAAAATCTTTGACACTATTTTGAAAAACAAACATAGGATTTTCGGGGGAGGGGAGGGGGTAGCACTCACTTTTTTTGCGATGATAGACATAGCATATATGCAATGGACCTTTCTTTGCAAACATTGTGCTCGCTTCTAAATTTAATAGAAACAACTCATTATATTTTATCAAGATTCGTATGTTCAATGAGCGAGAGCTTACAACGTTGTCAACATAATGAGACATGATGCGTTTTTGTGTCCAAACATTACTCCATACAATGTGTGGGTCATTGCAAACATTCTTGCTAATTATGTGAGGTGCCTGAAGGATATCCTATAACTGCCTATTTTTTCTACCTAACTTCTAAACAAAATAGACATATGTACCAACTTTTCGAATGTAAGACATGTAATTACAATTTATTTTTCATGCACTGCATATTGTTTAACATTTTCAAATTAAATGCTAAGCATCCTCCTTGCAGTGCCCCAATTGAAAATAACTTCTATCGCCACAGAAAAAAGACCCACTGTAAACACATATGTTTAGGACATTTTTATCTTTTTTTCTTGAGTTTTAAAGTACCCAACAAATTATCAAGACTTGTTCCACAAAAATTAAATATAATCATGGTAATAAACGGATTAATCCACATCAGATATATGCACATGCCAACCATGTGCTTAGTGGATTAATATTAACGAGGAATTTCGAGTTGTAAACAGAACAGTTTTTCCCGATTTGCGTTTTTTCATTAATCAGACGATGCGATGCAACAAATAAAAGTAGTAAGTAATATAACCTAATGAATATTACTTAGTAATTTCTTGTCTTGATGTTATTATGGTCGCATTTATTCTAAAATCATTGTTATTCGAACTCTGCATGACAGAGGAATGGCGGACCAAAATAAACACATGGCCTCAGGCAGACACCCATATGAAAGTCAAATTTTCAAGAATTATGGATAATGACAAGAAAAAAACGAAACAAATGGTTGTAGCCATATTATCAATGAATCAAACTAACTCCATTTTAAATGCATTTTTCATCTCATGAATGCTGTAGCTGCGCAGTTCTAACATGATTAATTTTCTTCTAATTCAGACAAAATAAACTTAATTGTTTACTAATTTTCGTCTCTAACAGTAGGTAATTGGTGCATTAGCACTTAGAGTAACTTTGGACTAGTTTAGTAGAGTATTAAGCGCATTCTTGGTATTTCTTAGTTTACACCAGACTAGATCCAATATGGCTTGTACATCCCCCTTAAGCTACGTTAAAGCTACGTTCTCGTGAGAATAGTAGCAAAAGTTCTGCTAAAAGTAAACATGCCCTGATTTAATGGATAAATATTGAAGATAAATAGCCAACGAAACATTCTTCATTTATTTTCAGCACTGATCAGGGTCCTTTGGGAGAAATGTAACTTACATACGACGTCATGTGACGTCAGAGTCTAGACGCATCAAATGTCACGTGCAGTTTGACGTACGAGCCCGATTTAAATTCTAACAAAATAAACATCTGCGCTCGCCATAACGGTCGCACCGTCATCATATTATTCATATCTCCTTTTACTTTATACAGAGTCGTCTGATTTTGTAACCAAAACCCCAGTGATGGACCCCCTGGACAGAGCTCAAGTACTCCTCCTCTGTGACCTGTGTCAAAGAGCTGCATTACAGAGTCATTGTGAACTTTGTCAGATTAACCTATGTAAGGCCTGTGTAGGGGAACATCTCTCTGATTCATCTAAAAGACACAAAGTTGTACCATACAAACACAGAACTTCTTCTCCTAACGTGAACTACCCAAAATGTCCAAACCACACCCAGAAACATTGTGAACTTTACTGTGAGAAATGTGACATTTCCGTCTGTTCAACCTGCATCTCCTCGGATAAACACCATGGGCATAAATTATCAGATATCTTACAGAATCCCACATTCATCAAAGAAATTTTAAACAAGGATTTGAAAGAACTAGAACAAAGAATAGTTCCAACATATGAAGAAATTACATCAGATTTAAACTCTGAAAAAATCAACTTGGAAAAAAATTATGAGAAACTGACAACAGCTGTAACCAAACAAGGAGAAGACTGGCACAGAGAAATTAACATCATTGTCAACAAACGAAAATCTGAAATTGATGAGATGAAAAATAAACACTTGGCTGCTCTTAATAAACAGGAAAATGAAATCAAACAGACCACGTCTGATGTTAAACAGAGCATACTTGATCTGAAGAAAATACTGGACTCCAATGATGTCTCCCTAACCTCTGCCTACAATTCAAGGAATGCTGAATTCAGACGTTTACCTCCTAAAATCAACGTTTCATTACCAAGTTTCTCTCCTCATCAGATCAATACAGAACAACTCCATCAAATGTTTGGTTCTCTGTCAGCATTATCCATTACAACAGAAGAACATGGCTACACAATGAAGACACCAGAAGCTGTATCCTGTCCTCCAGTCAAACCACTGCTACATGAACCAGAGCTCATCACCACTATAGACACTGGGTATAACGCACTATACAGTGTTACCTGTCTCAGTGATGAAGAAATCTGGACAGGTAGAGATGACGAAATCATGAAACTCTACAACCTCCAGGGTAAACTACTGAAATCAATCCAAACTAAGTCAGGGAACTATCCACGTGATATAGCAGTGACAAGGAGTGGAGATCTAGTTTATACTGACCCTGATACAGGAACTATAAACATAGTGAAGAATGACCAGATACAGGAAGTGATCAGACTACAGGGGTGGAGACCCTACAATGTCTGTAGTACCTCCTCTGGTGACCTACTTGTTACCATGAACAGTGCCGATGATAAACAATCAAAAGTAGTCCGTTACTCTGGCTCCACAGAGAAACAAACCATTCAGTTTGATAGTGAAGGTAAACCTTTGTATTCATCTGGTGACCTTAAATACATCAGTGAGAACAGGAACCTGGATATCTGTGTAGCTGACTATGGAGCCAATGCAGTAGTGGTGGTTAATCAGGCAGGAAAACTCCGATTTAGATACACTGGTCATCCCTCTACTAACAAGGGATTATTTGCTCCAGTCAGCATCACAACAGACAGCCAGAGTCAGATCCTGACAGCAGACTATTACAACCGCTGTATCCACATCCTATATCAGGATGGACAGTTCCTTCGTTACATTGATAACTGTTATCTACAATTTCCATATGGTATATGTGTAGACACCAGAGACAACCTCTTTGTGGCTGAGTTAAACAGTAGTGAAGTGAAGAAAATCAAATACATGTAATCAATGTGTTTTAAATTAATGACATGTTTGTGATAGAATTTTTTCCAGTAGCCAACTTAATCACAAGATGTAGTTTAATTCATTTCTAGTATTGATGTGTATTGTGTGTGAAAATATTATCAATATTATCAATAAGGTATAATATATAAATAAAAAATTAAATTATTAATAACAATCGTTTCAGAATTCTACCCAAGATTTAAATGACTTCTCAAAAATATAACATTACATTGGAAGAAAAAAAATTCAATATTTCAAAATGACCAAATGAATACCATGTATATTTGCAAGCATGAAGAAAGAAGTAATATGATGTACATTTTTTTCAAATTGATCCTGTTTCCTGCACTGCACACTGAAGGGTTGTGATTATACTGTACTTTTGATGTAGCTAGAATAAAATGCCCTTAGATTTAAAATAAATGCACATACTTTTTAATCTAAGTTATATGTAATTTATTTAAGAATCTTAATTGACCAAGATAAATTAACCACTTTTAATTTCCATGTTTCTTTATGGATTCTTGACTCATAGGGCAAAAGATAACAAGGTTTGACTGTATAAGTAACCCAAAACAAAGATGAGATATCGAGATCTGATTCAGGAAACTTTTTATTGTGGATGTTTTCATTTTAATTCACATACATCTTTGAATTACATGGTCAAATGATTTCAGCAGATATGAATGCATCAATTAAGTTCCATGGGATATCAGCTAAATAAGTCCATTGTCAGTAGAACGTACTAAATATTAAAAGGTCATATCAAATTTTATAGACAACATTGATTATTTCAGTATATGTAGCCACAGATATCTGTTTTTAAAACTTATCAGCTCGATCCCCGTGTTGAGCCTCAATAGTCTTCTTACTCTCCTTATGAGGGCCTCCACAAAGCTGTAGTGGGTCCTGGACTTACAGTATTCCTAAACCAACAAGCAAATAATGGATTAATGGTTTATATAAATCCAAAGACAATTTTCATAGGTGATGAATTAAGCATTCACAATGCTCGTTTTACTACTTCAAACTTCAGTGCATTAGCCAATCAAAATGTGTTTTACAACAATCGCATTGGAATTTAATTCATATACATATATATCCCTCTGTAAAACATTGTTTGTCTATTTGATCGTCTGTATTGAACCTTAGGGCTCATGATTTGAACAAACTTGAATTTACACCACCTGAGAATGCTTTAATTTCACACAAATATGACCAATCACTGCTTTGCTGTTCTTAAAAAAGCATTTTTTAAAGATTTTCCTAAAAAAATCATTGTAAAACTTTGATTATCCATTCATGATTGTGGCCCTACTCTACCCCCAGGGTTTCATGATTTGAAGAAACTTGAATCTACACTTACTGACAGTGATTCCAATCAAATATGAGTTTAATCTTTCCTGGCCCAGTGGTTCGATCGATCTTGTGAACGATTTTTTTTCAAATGATGCCAATAATTTTTCAATAATTCGTAATTATCTCCCCTTGAAAGAGGGTGTGGCCCTTCATTTGAGCAATCTTGAATCTTCTTTACCTAAGGATGCTTATAATGGCAAGTTTGGTTGAATTTGCCTGTGGTTTTTGAGAAGAAGATGAAAATGAGGATACAAACATGTACATACTTTGAACTAAACTTTAGAAAAACAATACTACCATAAAAATGACATAATGAACAAAATCTGCTTCCACAAATACATAAACATAATGGTATTTACCTCTTGAGTTAGCGTGAGTCAGTTAACCGCTGTAGTTAGAGCTAGTTCACGTAGAGCAGGGAGACTTAAACTGGGCTGTCTGTCTCATAGAATTCTGTGGAAAACTTCTCCGTGAGAAAAGATAAAGTGCATCACCTATAAAAGCATGTTATAATGAACATTACTGTAACATGTTTTTGGGGGTCCGATATTTCTGGATTCCGTGGGTCACTCTTACCCATAAAATTCAGTCCCATGACAATATTTTTTTAAATGTATCAATTACTCGATTCTAATCTATCTCTAAGTATGCTATGAAATTATGTCTACAAGAACGTGTAAATTGATACTGATACCCATAAGTCAAAGCATGACAAATTCTACTTGATATGCAGACTTTCTAGGGAACTTAATCTAAATAAAGCTATGATTCCATGAGGGCCTCTGCATTAAAAAAAATATAGCTGTACAAACTATTCACCTGATTGCCACAGTCCTGGTTTTCTATGCCCATTGAGGTCAGCAATGGCAAACAGAATTTGAGTGCGGCAAAGAGAAGTTGGCGATAGGTGGCCATGGGGCTGGGCAGGAAGTCCTTCTCTGTATCTACAACGGCTTCATCTCTGTAAAACGTACAATATGGTCAATAATCAATGCAAGTATGAATTGCTCGGGCAATACTTACAAAACTTTTAATCCTCATTCAGTATATATATAAGTGTGGGTGTAGGACTTGCCCACAGGCTTTTTGTCTGGCCCCCATCTCTACGTCCCATATGGACACCTCATTATTTCCCTGGGTGGCTGAGATCAGCCAGGACTGCTCCTGGGCATGCATGATCAACCTCCTTACTCGGACACCTGTCCATAGAAATATATTTATCTATACAAAACTTACCAATAATGAAGGGCAGTTTTTTATTTTGAAAGACACATTGATTCCTACCTGTAGGATGGACTATGGAGTTGATGGGAAGCTGGAATCTCACGTCCCAACAGACATGTGTCCCACTGCTGGTCCCCACAGCCAACCAACACTGGGAGTGGTGTACAGCAAAGGAGGTGATCAACCCTACAAAAGTCAACCATTAAACAGAATGCAGACAGTTGGCTTTAGGTTAAAATCTGGACTGGTATGATGATTATAAGTTGAATACCAACAAAATTGTAATCTGTTCCAAATATTAATCAGATATGATCTTTATGTTTAAATTCTTTTCTAATTATAAGGATGATTACACCAATAATTTTTCTCAAATCAAAAAAAACTTCCTTTTTAATTGACTACTCTGTGTATGACTTGATTGCTTTGCCCGTTACCTGATTTGGGATCATTTCTGAGCTTCCAGACTTCCTTGTTAGAGTGAAGATCATGTCCCACTAAGAACTGATTGACTGTAGCATATGATAAAACACTGGACACCTGTAAAAGGACAGAACCCTTCAAGAACTCATACACCAAGATATCCTACGCTCAAAATTTGAACAAAAACTTTCAGACAACTGTACTGTCCGTGTTCTAGACACTTATAACAGAAAACACGTCTGCTCGGTTTAACGCTTTAATTCTAAACTACATAACTAAATGATTACACAAATCGGCGTGGCTGAAACTGTCAACATCAATTACTGAATTTGTATTTAACATATAACATTCTGCTGGTATAGCAAATTCCTAAACGTGGGAAAACGTTAAATCTGAATGACTATTTAAAGATATGAACATTACATCCCTCTTCACCTTAGACAGAAAAACAATCTTTACATTATTTCTTAAATGACAGCCTGTAATGCTAATAACTAATCTTTATACAAATAGAGAATAAAGTTACAGTCAAATAACAAAAAGTCAATCTTTTTTTTTTCTCAGGTGGTCACATAGTCTTTTAGATAGGCGGGTGGCTTACGTTCCCGGGATGGTCTTCCGGTATGTGTGACAGAACGGTCTTTATCCAATTCGTCTCCTGTTTCGTCTGCGCTAACTTCTGGGTCATGCAATTCAATTTCGTCTTCGTCGCTCGATATAAATTTCTTTATAGCTGTGCAGTTTCGCTTAATCAACGATCCGTTTTCATCCTCGAGAGTCGCTGCATTTCTGCATTTCTCCCTCACGATGAACTTCTCAGGCGCGAATTCGGTTGTTAACTTGTCGCGCTTTGGCTGACGTTGTACAACAGTGTCGCCGATCTCAATTTCACACGGTACGGCGCGGCGCTTCTCATCCGCTCTTATTTTAAAATCCTCTTTCCGTCTTGCGTCCGTTTCTCTTACTTCTTTGCGATCGATTCTTGTATTGATCTCTGGTAACTTGGTATGAATTTTCCGATTATATAATAGCTCTGCAGGGCTTTTTCCAGTTGTAGAATGTGGGGTCACACGGTACGCAAGTAAGAACTTGGGTAGTTCTTGTCTCCAATCCTTGCCTTCTGCGTTTGCAGCTTTAATGGCTTTGAGTAGTGTTCGGTTTTGCCTTTCTACCTCCCCATTTCCTTGTGGCCAGTATGGTGTAGTCCGAATGTGTTTGATACCATTTGAATTCAGGTATCCCTTAAACTCCTCTGACACAAACTGTGGTCCGTTGTCGCTTCGCATGCTGTAAGGTAAACCGTGCCTCGCGAACATACTTTCGAGTTGTAGAATGATCTTCTCACTTGTTATCTTTTTCATTATGGCTACTTCCTGAAATCGGGAGAAATAGTCTATAACGACTAGTAGATATTCACCAGAAGGAAACGGTCCCATAAGATCTATAGCCAGATCCTGCCATGGCCCGTCGGGTAATACCGTTGTTCGAACTGGTTCGGGCCTATTGTTGTTCGACAAAAGTTGGCATTGATGACATGTTCTAACAAATCGCTCGGCTTCTGTATCTATGCCTGGCCACCATACCTTTTCTCTTAATCTTTGTTTCGTGCGGACAATGCCCTGGTGTCCTTCGTGAGCCAACTGTATTGTTTGTTTCCTCAGGCATTTAGACAGCATGATGCGCGTTCCACGTAATACTATTCCGTCGACGACTGAAAGTTCCGCTTCCACAGTACGAATTTTAGGATCCAAACGGCCATGTCCTGTTTTGACCCTCTTCATAATCTCGAGGAGTTCTCGGTCCTCCGACGTTTTCTGACGAACTTCTTCAATAGTGAGTGCTTTTGGTACAGCATTATCTGCAATGAAATGCGCATACTCGTCTGCAATGTGGCGTATTCGGCAAGTCTGATTCTGACTCAATCTGGATAGAGCATCAGCAGCGTTCTTTGGTCCAGGTATATAGACAATCGTATATTTATACGGTTGAAGTCGCAATATCCATCGCTCGATTCTAGCTGGTGGTTTCGACTTTGGAGAAAAAATGTAGGTCAACGGCTTATGATCCGTCCAGATTTCGAATTCTAGCCCGTATATGTACATGTGAAACTTTTCACACCCAAACACGACACCTAGAGCCTCGCGCTCCGTCTGCGAGTATCTTTGCTCAACGTCGGTTAGAGTCCGACTGGAATATGCAATTGGTTTAAACAATCCGTCTGGTTGTTTCTGTGCTAGAATGGCCCCAAGTCCAACGGGACTTGCATCCACGATTATCCTTGTCTCGGCTTTTGGATTGTAGTATGCTAGTGCTTCGGCACTTACGAGCGCTCTTTTTAGCATGTCAAACGCATCCTGGTGTCTTTTCGTCCAACTCCAGTGCGTGTTCTTCCTTGTAAGCTCTCGTAACGGGGCAGCTATCGTTGAGAAATTTGGTATAAAACGGCCGCAGTAGTTTGCTAGCCCCAGGAAGCTCCTTATTTCGGAACTGTTGCTTGGCGTTCTGGTCTCCGATACTGCTTTGATCTTTTCCTGGTCAGGTCGAACCCCCTCTGATGAAATCACATGTCCGAGGAATACAATTTTTGACAGACCGAATTCGCATTTTTCTCTGTTAAGGGTAAGCCCTTTCTCAGCTAGTCTGTCGAGCACCTTCGTAAGTTTCTTGTTATGGTCCGCCTGATCCGTCCCGTAGACTATAATGTCATCAGACAAATTCCGTACTCCTTTGATACCTTGAATGACTTGTCCGATTACTCTCTGGTAGATCTCAGATGCTGAGGAAATTCCGAACATGAGGCGCTTATAGCGATAAAGGCCCTCGTGTGTCACAAACGTGGTTATCTCTCTCGATTCCTCGTCTAACTCTATTTGGTGGTATCCCCAGCGTAAATCAAGTTTTGAGAACACTGTGCTGCCGTTCATATCCTCAAGCATTTCATCCACAGTCGGGATCGGGTACCGCTCGCGTTTAACAGCAGTGTTGACCCGTCTCATATCGACACAGATTCGAATTTCCCCGTTTTTCTTAGGCACAACGACAAGTGGCGACACCCAGGCCGTTGGGCTGTTTACTTTCTCAATTATGTCCATCTTCTCCAGCTCCTCGAGCTTTTTGTGCACGCTTTTCCTCACATTAAATGGTAAACGTCGTAACGGTTGTGCTACAGGGGTCACTGTCTTGTCGACATGGATTTTCAGCTGAAAGTTTTCCAGTTTCCCTACTCCCTTGAAAACAGAATTTCTTGAGGCACCAATCCTATCAAGTTCACTTCTAACGGAGCATAGGTCGGGCTCATCGGTTCCTATGCGTAGAACTCCTAGCTCTACTGCTGTGTCTTTTCCTAGTAAGGAAATATAATCGCCCTCAACGACAGCAAACTCTGCATATGTTTCACGCAGTCCATGCTTGGTTACAGTCCGAAATGTTCCAAGTATTTGTAACGGTTCCTTTGATCCGTAAGAAAACAATCTTTTTGTGCTTCTCGATAGGGACATTGTTCCATCGTTAGCTCTAATGGCGCTCCATACATTGTGGTTAACGATATTGCAGCTCGCGCCAGAGTCAATTAGCATCTGTATCTTAGCTCCGCCCACGCTAACGTCTATCATGCCATTTGCATCGTTTTTGTAGACAGCAAATGCGAACTCGTCATCTGAGGACTCACTCTGCACTAAATGAACATGCTTCGTACTGCGGTCCTTACCTGGTCTAGTGCGCGGGGTATCCGATTTAGTCTTACACACCTTTGCGAAATGACCCTTTTTCCCACACTTATTACACGTCTTGTCCTTAGTAATTGTACAGTTCCTTGCAATGTGGCCCTTCCGCCCGCACCTAAAACACGTGGCATCTTTCTGTGAACTTTTCTCAGGCATGTACTGTTTCCTGTGACTTACCGACGGCCTAACAGTGTTAACATCGGAGCTTGAAAATGTTTCACTGCCCTTGAATCTGTCTGCTTGCTCGTCAACGATTTCGCCAGCTCGGGCTATGTCCATTGCATTTTTTAAAGTTAATTCCTTTTCCTTTAGGAGTCTTTTTCTTAATTTTGACGATCTACACTTTTCAACGATTTGATCGCGAATGTTGTCATCTGGCTTCTCAAATTCACAGGTTACGGCCAGTTTGCGCAGCCTAGTCACAAAACTGTCAATTTTTTCTGTTTCACCTTGTGCCGCGTTTCTGAACAAATGGCGCTCAAATGCTATGTTACGTTTTGGTTGGAAGTACTCATCTAATTTCTTTCTTGCACCGTCCAGGTCATCTCCTGACTCGCCAAGGGTATCAAATATTTCTTGAACCTCACTTCCCGCGGAGTGTAGAAATAAAGCCCTTTTTTGCGCTTTATCCGTAATCCCTGTCGCCGTTATGTAGAATTCAAAGGTTTTCTTCCACTTATCCCACCTTTGGGAAACACTTGTTTGGTCACCATTAACATCAAATGGATTAAGTGCAGGTAACGGCAATGCCTTTGCCATTATTGTTATCCTCGTCGCCAATGTACTGTCCGTGTTCTAGACACTTATAATAGAAAACACGTCTGCTCGGTTTAACGCTTTAATTCTAAACTACCTAACTAAATGATTACACAAATCGGCGTGGCTGAAACTGTCAACATCAATTACTGAATTTGTATTTAACATATAACATTCTGCTGGTATAGCAAATTCCTAAACGTGGGAAAACGTTAAATCTGAATGACTATTGAAAGATATGAACATTACAACAACATTTAAACATTTTTCCTTTGTTCTTTATAATTCTTTTCCCACTTTACACAATATATAAAACTGCCTATATCATAATACATGTACATATCTAAATAATCATGCATGTCAAGATACATATATGATATTTGTACAGTGCTGTATAATGGTGAGCAAATTGAATAGACTTTTGCTTATGAGCATTGAGGTGAGCATAATTTTGCACATGTGCATTTTGGTTAGTATTTTCCTCCCTAACAAAGACTAACAATCTGCACATGAAGATGATGCATGCAATTCTTACTTGATTCTCATGTGAGTCTCATGAGCTGCTCATGAGCATTTGTTAGAATGTTTGGTACGGGAACCTGTATCAAAGTATGTGAGATCTACTATGTTTCCATAGTCGGACTTGTCTGCATTAATAGCTTTGTTCCAAGTGGTCTTTCCTGTCTCTATCCTGTTAAAAAAGCAAATCAATAAAAGAAACAATTCATTTATTTCTAACCTCAATATATAAAACACACTACTGACTTGTAAGTGTTGATTGCCACCCATGTCAGTGAATGTGGCCAGAGACAGCAGATCCAGGAGCTTCACAGAAAACTAAACCTTTCACTTTCTCTCCTTGTCAAACAAAGCAATAATCAGCACTTACACGTATCAATATTCAAGTATAAATCAGATAAAAAAAAATCACATATATTTTTCTTTTATCTTAAATTTTTTTTCTGACAATTCAAAGAAAATTGGGTTCATAAAAAAAAATCAATGACATAATACAGTGTAAATCAAAGTAATTTGTTATTTTACCAGGTATAGAAGAATAGACCAATCCACACTTTACAAAGGTTGCTTCCCCTTGCGGGGTCAACCAAAAGGTCAAGAGGGAAAGAAACAACATTTCTCCTTTTTATGCTACCAAACATTTGGGTGGGCTATGATGAATCCACTGTGTTTTAACACCCTTCCCCGCAGTCACACTTTTTAACACATATACCATTTCCTATCTCTAACGCAAAATCACGCACATACTGTTTTTTTTAAATCACACATTTTCTCACACTTTAAAAAGTTCATTTTATATTTAATTTTTTCCCAATATCCTTCTATTTCATACTTGCAAAAATCTTTAAAAAATAAGAAAATTAACTTATTTTTGTAATAAAATATATAATGTCATAATATTATGAATGCTAAACTTTATAGAAACATATTCCACGCTAAAAGGTGCTTACGGGAAATGGTAAATTTCTATTTCTATGACGTGAACATTAAGTGTATGTTGCATAATAGTTCAGTAAGTTGTAAAGACTTAAATTGTTTTCTTTGGATGTGTGGGTACATATAGCCCCAACATGGGGCAATCAGTGTACACTATGCAACGATTCTTCCCAGTCAAATGACAAAGTTACAAACCTGAAAACTTCGAAGGCTACTATGAGGATTCTTTGGGTTCATCCCTTAAGATGGCGGTCAAGGGACATAACTTTTGAAAAGTGTGGATTCAACTATTCTTGAGGGTCTGTTTAGAGCGGTTAACAACACTGTTTCTCTCCAGTTTTTCTGACTCCCATAATTTGACTGTATCATCATTGGAGGCCGTGGCAAAGAATGCTTGGTCTTGAGAAACTTGAAGCCTGCTAGTAAATAACACATTCTTTAATTATGTACATGGACTAGTATATAATTACTAGGGCTGGGTATTGGCCTGAGATTTCGGATTGCGATATATTGCGATATTTTTTAATGTATTGCGATATGTATTGCAATATTTTCAATGTAATAAAAATGGCATTTTCTTACTATATTTACTTAAAAGTATACACGCTATAACTTGCGCCAGTTAAAATACGATTGGAAATTGATATAATTTGTTTATCAATAAAAGTTAGGAAAATATTGTAAATTACACCATAAAAATTAAACGCGTTACAAAGTTATCAAATTATGATTATTTATTATCCTGCAAGGAAAGAAAAATAGCTATTTTTAAATTAACCCATCACGTGACGCCGTCGCAACTTTTAGATTGATAAACACACGTGGCGTAAAGAAAACAAGGTAGGCCATTTGAAATACTACTCACTTTTGACATGTATGGCAAGCGTCTTACTTAATGGTAGGGTGAATTCACCATGCATCGGATACCCTTGTACTTCAACAAGTTCTAGCGATATCGCTACCGACGGAAAATTATCAAAATGGAGTTTAATAATTATTTTTTGATTAAAATATCAATTTGGGACACAGTTGTATGCCCTTTATTGAGAAAATATCCTAAAAAATCAAGTTTTTAGGAATAACTCAAAATTCACCATGGATCGGACAGTGTTTACCATGCATCGGACAGACGGTATTTTGACCGGAAAAATATTATACCTTTATTAAAGTGCTTTAAAATCCTTGATATGGATATATTTTTATCTTTTATCTAAGAATTAACCCTCAACTTAAATTTAATTTACGATATCGTTGCAAAAATGTAGAACGATTCAACAGACCTCACACTGCCTTGAAAATGCTGTAAAATGCTAATAATGCGGTAATTCGCGCCTTTTTTCATGGTTTATCATACTCTGGTTTGTAGAAATAAATTGAGTCGAATTCCAGAAGTCATATATCGATAACTTGTATTTTGACTGAAAATATAGAGTTTTTATTTTCTTTTTCCGCAAAAACAGCTATCAGCTGGGTTCTGTATGAAAATGGTAGTGCTTACCTTTGCATCGGAAAGTGTCCGATGCATGGTTAATTTGTGTCCGATGTACGGAGAAATGAACATACTAGTGAAAACCAGCTCTTAAAAGAATTATACGAACATTGAAGTGAAATTTCTTTAAAATTTATGTAAAATTATCAATCTTTGACTTTATTCACCAAAGTCTGCCTCGTTCCGTTGAAGTCGAATTTTAAGAACGATAACTCTAAAAATCGCAAAATCATAAATTTCTGGTTGTTCCCCTTTGATGATGTAAAATATGACGTAATTTCATGGCCATTCTCGGGGTATTTTTATCACAACATGATAATAACAATCGGTATCATTATAAAATTCAAGTCTTCAGCTTCAAGACAGAAACAAATAAATACACGGAACTCTTAAGTTGAAAGAGAGTTTATTGTCTAAAGTTGTCCGATGCAAGGTATGTGTCCGATGCATGGTGAATTCACCCTACTTATTTTTTAGTGTTTTCATTACCAACCATCTTCTATATTGTGATGCATATTAACCATATATCAATAATTGTTGTCAAAATGCAACATACCTCGTTGTCTGTGCTTTCCCGTGGACATGTGTTTCTATATATAGGCCTACTGTTTACGCACTTCCTTTATCAATATTCATGAAAAGACTGGATTCTGAATTCCTAGATATTACAGCAACATCTATAGTACAATTTTGTGGAAAGTATTATTTTTCATGACACTTCATGTGTTTTAAATCATTTATCATTTTGTTTCACACAAAATTTGGCGTTCATATAGCGTATATGACTTTAATTTACATGCAGAATTTACATAACTATAATAAGTAACCAGCATGGAAAAAAAATCTTGTTGATTTTATTTAAGATATGCTCTGAAATGTTTTCACAAAACAACTTCCGACTTACTGTTTTCCTTAATAACAAACTTTCATGAGTCCATTTTTATATTTAATCATTTGACACAATCCCTTAATCTTTGCATATTGCCAATATATCGATATTACAAAATCGTATTGCGAATAATTACAAATTATTTGGCTAAGTCAGTTAAATTTCAATAAAGTCATTGCTAAATAGTATTACATAGAGAAGATAGATGTTAGTGCTTAGAAGAGTTATTCCTCTTGATGATGCACTTTACTTTTTATACAGGTCATTAATCAGTACTTTCTGTGACTCTCCCTACCTGTTGACTGCCGCCCTGTGTTTCTGGAGGTGGGCCACAAGAAGCTCCTAGTGTTTCCAGTTACTGGTTGGGGGCCTCCTCTCCCAGGGTTTCCAGTTACTGGGTGGGGGCCTCCTCTCCCAGGGTTTCTAGTAACTGGGTGGAGGCCTCCTCTCCCAGGGTTTCCAGTTACTGGGTGTCGGCCTCCTCTCCCTTGGGTTTCTGTTTACTGGGTGGGGGCTTCCTCTCCTTGGGTTTCCAGTTACTGGGTGGGGGCCTCCTCTCCCTTGGGTTTCTGTTTACTGGGTGGGGAACTCCTCTCCCAGGGTTTCTAGTTACTGGGTGGGGGTCTCCTCTCCCAGGGTTTCCAGTTACTGGGTGGGGGCCACCTCTCCCAGGGTTTCTAGTTACTGGGTGGGGGCCTCCTCTCCCTTGGGTTTCTGTTTACTGGGTGGGGGCTTCCTCTCCTTGGGTTTCCAGTTACTGGGTGGGGGTCTCCTCTCCCAGGGTTTCCAGTTACTGGGTGGGGGTCTCCTCTCCCAGGGTTTCCCACTTCAAGTAAGAACTCCTGGAGCATGGCTTCTGAATGAGACCTAATTCTGTAAGAGCCTGTAGAGCACCTAACGTCTTGTGTACAACAAATTCTTCTGGGTCACTCAGGCCCTGAAACAGAAAATCAAGTTTATACTGTGAAATCATTATTTCCATTGGGGATTTGATTATCACTGTTTCTGTAAGATTTGATTGGCTATAATTATTATCATCCGATTTCCATACCTGGTCAATAAGTGCGCTTATATGGCTTAATTCGGTATACAGCAGCTCTGCCACCTGACACATGCGGCCACACCCACAATGTTGTCAAAGAAGGAGCCACGGAGATGCCAGTCAGTCTGAAAATCAAGAATATAATGTACGTGTACATACAGTGTAATTTGGCTTTTTCAAATTTTAGCGCAATCACTGGGTATGAGTTGTTGGTGTTATCATGAATTTATAGCACTACACATGTCTGTGTCATATTTTGTATTAATAAAAGATTTCTTAGAGATACAGTAAAACTCGGTTATAACAAGTCTAGGGGACATCTGAAATTAATTTGCTGTATCCCTTATTCATTATATCCGTATAAGGAATTAGTTAAATTAATATAGATGGGGGATCCATGATAACTTTGCTATATCCATGGATTTGCAATATCCGTGTTCGTACTAAACAAGTTTTACTGTATTCATAAATTAGCACATTATCCTCTGTTCCAAAGTCTCTTAAATATGAAGCCTGCTATTCTAAATACTGTATACAGAGAAATTTTTGCCCCTTCCACCTACCCTCATTTGGGCAAAATCAAAGATTTCAGTATCATTTCTTAAACAAACAGTACCGATCACCAGACCCAACCTGACACCCAAGCAGTCCCAGAAAGCAGTCCCCGGGACTGCTTTGGGACCGCTCTGGGACTGCTGTGGGACTGCTCTGGGACCGCTGTGGGACTGCTCTGGGACCGCTCTAGAAAGCAGACCCAGGAGTCCCAGCCGTCCCTGGGACTGCCTTCTGGGACTGCCTTTGTTCACCCCTTTGTGAAAAAGGTTCTGAGTGACATGATAGCTCCGCCCCTTTGTGAATTCTGAATTTGCAGGCCCCCTGTTGTTTTGTTTACTTGCAGCAGAGATGAGTTTAAACTGTTTAAAAAGCAAGGATTTCTTACAATCTTTTAATAAGTAGAGATTATTATAGTTAATTAATATTTACTTAGACTGTATATTTACACAAATGTAGTTTAGAATAAACTTTTTAAAAATAAACTTGTTAAATAAGGAAGTCAGGAGAAGAATAATTTTTTTCCCTAAATATAAGATAAGGTTTATGAGAAAAAAATATCCACATGTAGGCCTTTTTATTATGGGGTATTCAATGTAAAATTAAATGCTAAAAATCTGCATTTGTACTATTTTATAATAATTATTACAATTAGATAAATGATTTTTTAATTAAAAAAGGTATATGTTTTTTACCCTCAAATATAAAATATCACACTTTAATAAATGACCATAAAATAAAATTAAAAAATTAAATTAATCAATGCTTCCATCAATTCTTCCGTAACATAAACAATGTGGAAAATCACTGGGGAAATTATTAATGAATTACCGGTAGTTTTTGATTTATATACAAGTAATGAAAAAGTACATAAATTTCAAAAATAAACAGTTGAAAATACCGGAAATTATGATTTAATTTTTTTTGTATTGCTCCTGTTTACACCGCCGATTAATGTGTATAAGAATGGTATCAACATGCACTCGCGGTTTCAATCGCCTTTGGGCAGAAAATCAGTGTATGTTATTTGGGTATACATATCAGCGTTACACATCATTGAACATGCTGGTCAACAATGATCCTAATTTCAATCTATGTAACGCAAAACTAAAATTGATAAATGAAATGTGTATGAATTTCTTTCAGGATTAATTAATTTTGAACATAATCTGAGGGTTCCATTCGGGTGATTTACAGATATACACTCTAACATTAACAACAGAAGTACTTAAAACTTAAAGCACAATATTATAGAGACAGAGAAATTTAAAATAATTAAATTGACATGTCAGTAAAAATAATCATGCCTGAAAATTAATACTTGGCAAAATCAACAAAAAAATTTTTTTTTTGAAAAGCCCCAATACTTAAGAAAATTTATAAGAGTATCCCGATAGTATGGAAATTGGCCATAAGGATACGATCTATTTAAAGCTAATTCTGGTGTAAAATAATTTAATTTTCTGTATAAAAAATAAATAGGGAAACAATATCAATTACAGAAAATAAAGAAATCGAATTATCAATATACCAGATAATTGTGATTTATTTTAATTAATAAATAATAAATTTTAATTAATTTTAATTTAGGACTGCTCTGGTATAATATTCATGTTAAGTTTAATTTCATACATATACGTGTGAAAGCCTTCTTCATTCGATTAATATTATTTCAATTTTGTTTCTATGCGCGTACTGTTCATAAATCATTCGCACACATGTAAGGATTCCAGGCATACTACCCAGAATCAAATTCTACAGCCTTTTATAGTTCCATTGTTTATTGGGAATCTCATTTCTGAGTTAGCTCCGCCCATTAAATAAATAAACCCCGCCCTCTGGGACTGCTGGGACTGCTTTCTGGGACTGCTGGGACTGCTCTCTGGGACCGCTGGGACTGCTGGGACCGCTCTGGGACTGCTGTGGGACTGCTCTGGGACCGCTGTGGGACTGCTCTGGGACTGCTCTGGGACTGCTTTAGCAGTCCCAGAAAGCAGTCCCCGGGACTGCTCTGGGACTGCTTTGTGTCAGGTTGGGTCTGGTCGGTACTGAAGCTATAACTGGATAAATTCTAATTGGGGAAAAATTGTTTGCAACTGTGAAAAGGCAAAAATAACACTCTATCACTGATCAGAAGTTTTCTTAATTTCACATAGGACTTTATAGTTTTAATTATTATTTAACAAAACCTGAGTTATCTTACCTTGTCACTGAGGAAAGTAATCATGTGAGACAGTAGCACATCACTGGCTGAAATTAAAAACAGAAATTAACATTTCTAAAAATTCAAATCAACCATCCTAAACCACATTTACTCTATATCAGGCTAGAGAATGAGATCAAACCTCAAACAACTACCACAACTCAAACATGTTTTAACTTTACATCCGTACATCAGATTGTAGAATTAAATCTTGTTGAGAAAAGTATTTTTCAATGCCTGATTTGGTAAAGTGAGTACCTTTTTGCCTGTCAAAGCAGACACACAGCTTTGTGATTCCGTTCTCCAGTAGGGTCTGTTTAACACTGTTGTCCGGGTCACTCAGCAGGGTCACGACCTTCTGTTGTCTGGGTCACTCAGCAGGGTCACGACCTTCTGTTGTCCGGGTCACTCAGCAGGGTCATGACCTTCTGTTGTCCGGGTCACTCAGCAGGGTCACGACCTTCTGTTGTATGGTCTCTTGTAGAGACAGCAGCTCTATGTCATAATTTGCCTGTTTAAACAACAAAGGCCCATGGGCCACATCGCTCACCTGAGCAATGTGGTTAGGAAAAAAGCATAAATTAGTTTATGATTGAAAAGTTGAAACCCACGCATGTGAGTTAAGGCTAAATATGGAGGTTTCTATGCAAAATATCTAATTAAATTCCATAATTGCTCTACCTACTGCACAGAAAATGTTAAGACTTGTTTTCTTTTACATTCTTAGTACCCACGACATGCAATAGACAGTACACATTATGACGTCATCAACCTCTACTACACAAGTTTATAAGAAACATCAACGAAATCGCTTCGGCGCAAGGGCATACCTTATTTTGTTTTACAGAAGCAAGGTATAAAAAGACGCAGGATATTCCAAGGGTTTAGGATATAGCTGCACAAATGTCGGCACTGCAATTGTTTAGTTACTATTCGTGCAGTTTTAAGTTTAAACAGAGAAAAAATTCACAGTCCAGTGTAAGTTTCCTAAAATTTTTATCGATTGAGAAAGTGCCTAGGATTTGTGCAGCAATTTTATTAATTTTAATAATATTCTCCTTAATATAATACATTATTTATTTTAAATTAGATTGGATATGCTCTTGCGCCGATGTGATTTTGTTGATGTGATTTATAATAAATGCCTTGAATGAGAGAGAACAATGACATCATAATATGACGTCATAATGTGCACTTGCATAAATAAGCCCTGGGTACCAAGTATGTATAAGAAAATCAATTTGAACTTTCTCTGTACATAAAATATACAACTTATGCATTTTTATTAGCTCATTTGCATAGAATATTCATATTTAGTCTTAACTCACTTGCGCAATAGTGGTCCCAAACAATCCTTAAAAAGGAGAGCTAGGACCATTATCTGAACAAACTTGAATCTACACTAACTAAGGATACTTGCATATTTCTTTGACTACCTGTGGTTTTATTGCCCTTTACATTTGAACTTATATTGTGGCCCTGCCCTACCCCCAGGGGTCATTATTTAGCCAAAATTGAATCTACACTACCTGAGAATACTTCCATATGAATAGGACTAATCATGGTTTTGATATTTTTGAAAAAAAGATTTTTAAAGATTTTTTTCCCACCATCCCTAGGCCATAGCGCACTGCCCTGAATGTACCTGCTGGGCCCATACTCTGGACACTGCCCTGTATGTACCTGCTGGACTTATTTTTATTTCAGCATTTGTATAAAAAATTCAATCATAATAAAACCTTGCTTATCGGAGGTATGTTTTGTAATATTTGCTTCTCTAACGTAAGTATGGTAGTAATATTTGAGGAAAAACATGCTTATAGCAAATTCGCTTTATATTAATTGTTATATGAATTTGTTATACGGATATAACGAATTATAAATACAAATACAAATACAAATATTTATTGGCACAAACACAATTACAATAATTTGCAAAGGCACATCATCAATTGTTCATTATATTTAAACAATAATCTGGTATAGAATGTAAGGCTATATATAATCATAGCTAAATTGTACATCATTTGTAAAATAATTATGTTAAGCAGTCATTTCTAGATGTAATACATTTTTTAACAAATGAGTTTGTTATTTTCAGTACTTCTGGACAATGGCTATTAAAGCAAAGTTTAACTTTTTGAGTATTAGACATATTTAATATTTTATCATGGAAGAAATTCATATAAATATAGCAAATTAAATTCACAGGTCCTCTGCATGGCTTTTAAATTAAATTCAATTATAAAAGGAGTGGAGAAAATGTATGGCTGGACAAGGAATCGAGCCCAGGATCTCAGTATCACTAGTCAGGTGCTCTACCAGTATTCAGGTTGATATCCATTACACAGTACTTATATGCGTATAAATCTATATCTCATTTACATTGTACTTGTATAGTGTATTATTTCTGTCCAGAATTAGTTGATGATTGTCAAAGATTTGCACAAATAGAACAATAAAAAGGCGTTCTGACAGTTTTCTAAATAAAATTAAAAAGGGTAACTGATTCTTCATGTTATTGCATCTTTTTCTGTCCATCTTTACACATAATTTTTTTTAAACACTTTGCTTTTAGGATAACAGAAAACAGAACATTATGGATATAACTTACCTACTTTTTCGTGTCACTATTAGAAGTGTTTGTCTAATATTATAGGCCCAGTGTACAACTGCCGACTGGCTACTTTGAGGACAATGAGGTTTTTTGATTTGACGCCAATATGAAACTAATATTTTTTCAATCTTGAACCCGATGCAAATTGACATAAAAAGTGAATACAGCACATGAACAGGTTTTTTAAATTCAAATGAGACAATTTGAAAAGAAGATGATCTTGTGAAACACTGATTCAGTTGATGAAAGCTCTATATGGGACAAGATTAAAGTTTTCAAATATATTTCAAAGTCTAAGATCAAGAACTAGGATTAAAACAGGATAAAATTATTGCACCTTTACCCCCCATCCCCCCATCCCTTTTACCAGTAAAAAGTTATGGCGATCACGGTTTTCAGTTTTTCATTACTTAGTAGATCATACTCCAAGTTTTTAATTTAAACAACTTAATTTAAAATTATTGGTACCAAAGGAAAGTTCTCAAAAGGAATACATATGATTCATGTGCAAGCACAGACACCTGACTTATTTTTTATTTACTTATTTTTTTTTCTTTAAATAAAAAATAGGATACATAACCCCTACCTAATAATTAATGTGTGAAAGCATCAATTAAATGATCTATAGAGCAATTTATGTTATGTAATAGCATAAAGTTATAGATAAGATGTAGCTGCAGATCTGTAGCGTTATGGTTTTATTTATTTGTCTTTGACCATAACGCTACAGATCCTGTAATGCAAAAAAGATGCATTATTGTGACCCACTTTTCCCAAAGAATATAAATTTTGTCTAGCAGTGATTTTTGAGATTCAGTGATTGAATCCGAATTTGTGTTTGTCTTAAAAATCATAATACTTGATAACAACTTATATAAATATTACGCAACTTAAATAAATTTTTTTATTAGAATTTCAAATGTATTTGTTTATAAAGCAAAATGTAATATGAATTCAACGTGATTTCAACCAAATATCAACGTTTGTACATCCGAAAAATTTCAATCAAATCTAAACCTAATTTCAACCAATGTTTACTTTTGTTCAATGTTGATATTTGACGTTGAAACAACTTTGAAGCTTAAACTTTGCCTCAACTTTCATTTGCAACCAAAAATCAACCATAAATCAACCAAAAATTCAACCCATTTTCAACGTTTATTCAACGTTGAAAATTGACGTTGAAGCAACGTTATGTCTCAACGTTGCTGCTGGCCATGGGCCCCCTAAAGTCAATGTTACATTACCAAGTTTTTCCCTCGTCAGATCAATACAGAACAGCTCCATCAAATGTTTGGTTCTCTGTCAGCATTATCCATTACAACTGAAGAACATGGCTACACAATTAAGACACCAGAAGCTGTATCCTGTCCTCCAGTCAAACCACTGCTTGATGAACCAGAGCTCATCACCACCATAGACACTGAATATAGATGTAGCTGCAGATCTGTAGCGTTATGGATTGTCTTTGACCATAACGCTACAGATCCTGTAATGCAAAAAAGATGCATGCAATTTACGGCGCAATATTTTTTGCGCGCTTTGGAGGGGAATTACCCACTTTCAAGTATTGGTCAATCAACCACCTTTCACTACCTAATTCTAGACACATTCTGTAGCCAATATGTATATTTTATACACCTCCCAACCCTTTTTACTCGTCTCTACAAGTGATAAATTCGCTTGATTAAAATTATTAGTTATATACTTCTAACGACTTCTAACGACTTTATTGCCTGAAGAGACAACTATAAAAGGTTGAAAGGTGGATAAAAAAAAGACAAATATATAAAATCATAACGCTACAGATCTGCAGCTAGATAAGATGTTGACCATTCGTGCAATTAAAAGAAAATGTCTGCTTTGAGAGTTTATTTTATCGCAATTTTCGCATATAATTCGCCTTAATTGTACAGGGGCGTAGCAACGGGGGGGGGGGGGGGGGGCTGCCCCCCCCCCCACTTTTTTTTCCCACTCTTACTGTTACTATAGGAAATATTAATTGAAAACCTGGTTGTTGCCCACCCCCCTTTTAGACTTTTTAAGTGATGTACCTTTATAACGTTTTTACCATGTACAAATGATTTATAATTTATAATTGGGTTCGCTTAGGTTTCCTTCCTAAGAATCACGTTTATATCGAATTATGACAAACTTCAATAACAAAGGCGAACAACTGACTGAAAGTCACTATATAAACTTTTTCCTTGGTCCTACCTGGATAATGATGAGTAAACTAAATAACAACGAACTATAACGAAGGAATCGCTTACAATCAAACCAAATGATCAAATATAAAATTAACCTATCTCTGTAGCTGCAGACTGAGTGGTATAACGAACAGTTCTGTTGTTTCCCGACACAGTCTGCAACTACCCTAAACACACCAAAATAATCACAAAGTAACATTATCATATTAAGACACACAAACACAAGCTAAAGTCACCAAGACACCATAGCTATTAACAGGACACGACTTTTGGTAAGACACAAGCTAAAGTCACCGAGACACCATAGCTAGTCACAAACTCACAAAGACACTAGGGAACTGGGTCCCTGGGCTGAGTGGTCTAACAAACAATACTGTTGTTTCCCGACACAGCCCAGGTACCCTTCCCAAGTCACCTAACTCCGACAAAGAGTTACACCAAAAGTAAACGAAACAAGATTGATCCTTGTATTTATACTATGCCTAATTACTACTGATTGGTTAATAAATTCTAATGATTTAATTGGCTAAAATATCAACTCTGATTGGCTACTCATAATATGATTGGGTGATTTAAAAACCTATTTCAATCCACTTAACTGATTCTGTTTCATTACACCTAAAATGGAGCATTAGAATTGGTACTGAAAGTATTTGACACTGGGAAAAAGTTCACCCCCCCCCTCGAAATAGGATTTCTGACTTTGGACAAACTTTTTTTGCTTGTCACCTTTTTTAGGTAAGTAAAAAAAATTCTCTGGCTTCCCCCCTTCAAAATCGATGTTACGCCACTGCATGTTGCCTGAAGTCACCCGTCGTTAAAACTTAGAAATACCAGGTACACGTGTATAGTTCATATTATTACAAACGTCTACAAAATTAAGGGAGAAAATATTTCAAAGACTTTTCGTTTAGACAAAAATATGATGGATATATACAAAGTTGGAAATACAAGATAGACAGAGTGACTCTAAAGTTCATTTTCATGGGTTTAATGACCATATACGGTAACTATTGTTAATAATACCCCTTAATTTTAATCTATTTTAATTTAAAGGTACTCTGTACATTGGTTGATATTTAGATAGCTGAGGTATTTAAATCACATGACCTGGTAACCAGGTTAATATTTAGACTGAAGACAAGGAAGTAAATTGTGATGTACGGGATTATCAGGGAGGCCATGTTGGATTTAGAGGTGAGAATAGATTATATCTAGAAAATTTAATATGTTTAACTCGCTGAAAAACATTTCCAGATTTCATTATTGATTTCAAGTCTAGTACATGTATTATACTTTAGATAAATTTCATGAGCGGGCAACTTTAGATAGATTATATAGATCATATTTATTAACTATATGAACTGTTTTGAATGTTATCTAACATTTTTTCAATTTTTTTTATCAAACATAAGAAAAGTTATCATACCAAATTAAAACTACAATTAAATAGATCCTTCCTGTTGATTATAAAACCGACGCTGTCCTACAATTTCTCTAAACAAAACATAACTCTTATATTTTATTTATTTTAAAAATTGCTTAACATTTCTGTAGTCAGTGAGCCATACCTACATTTACTTTATACAGGGTCGTCTGATTTTGTAACCAAAACCCAAGTGATGGACCCCCTGGACAGAGCTCAAGTTCTCCTCCTCTGTGACCTCTGTCAAAAAGCTGCATTACAAAGTCATTGTGAACTTTGTCAGATTAAACTGTGTAAGGCCTGTGAAGGGGAGCATCTCTCTGATTCATCCATAAGACACAATGTTGTACCATACAAACACAGAAAATCTACTCCTAACGTGAACTACCCAAAATGTCCAAACCACGCTCAGAAACATTGTGAACTTTACTGTGAGAAATGTGACTTTCCTGTCTGTTCTACCTGCATCTCCTCTGGAAAACATCATGGGCATAAATTAACAAATGTCTTACAGAATCCCAGCTTTATAAAAGAAATTTTAAACAATGATTTGAAAGAACTAGAAAAAAAAATATGTCCTACATATGAAGAAATTGCATCAGATTTAAACTCTGAAAAACTTACTTTGGAAAAACATTATGAGAAACTGACAACAGCTGTCACCAAACAAGGAGAAGACTGGCACAGAGAAATTGACATCATTGTCAACAAACAGAAATCTGAAATTGATGACATGAAATCTAAACACCTGGCTGCTCTAAATAAACAGGAAAATGAAATCAAACAGACCACATCTGATGTTAAACAGTGTATACATGATCTGAAAAAAATACTGGACTCCAATAATGTCTCTCTATCCTCTGCCTACAATTCAAGGAATGCTGAATTCAGAAATTTACCTCGTAAAGTAAATGTTTCGTTACCAAGTTTCTCTCCTCATCAGATCAACACAGAACAGCTCCATCAAATGTTTGGTTCACTGTCATCATTATCCATTACAACAGACAAACATGGCTACATAATGAAGACACCAGAAGCCGTATCCTGTCCTCCAGTCAAACCACTGATTGACGAACCAGAGCTCATCACCACCATAGACACTAAGTATATCGGACTATACAGTGTTTATACCTGTCTCAGTGATGAAGAAATCTGGATTCATGGGTATGACAATATAATGAAACTCTACAACCTCCAGGGCAAACTGCTGAAGTCAATCCAAACCAAGTCAGGGAACATACCAAGGGACATAGCAGTGACAAGGAGTGGAGATCTAGTTTATACTGACTCTGGTAAAAGAACTGTAAACATAGTGAAGAATAAACAGATACAGGAAGTGATCAGACTACAGGGGTGGAGACCTTACTATGTCTGTATCTCCTCTGGCGACCTCCTGGTTACCATGGTCAGTGATGATAATAAACAATCAAAAGTTGTCCGTTACTCTGGCTCCACAGAGAAACAAACCATTCAGTTTGATAGTGAAGGTAAACCTCTGTATTCATCTGGAACCTACAGTAAATACATCAATGAGAACAGGAACCTAGATATCTGTGTAGCTGACTATGGAGCCCGTGCAGTAGTGGTGGTTAATCAGGCGGGAAAACTCAGATTTAGATACACTGGTCATCCTTCTCCTAACAAAAGATCATTTAATCCATTAGGCATCACAACAGACAGCCAGAGTCAGATCCTGACAGCAGACTATAACAACCACTGTATCCACATCCTAGATCAGGACGGACAGTTCCTCCGTTACTTTGATAACTGTGATCTACAGCGTCCATGGGGTTTATGTGTAGACACCAGAGACAATCTCTTTGTAGCTGAGTATGACAGTCGTAAAGTGAAGAAAATAAAATACATGTAATCACTGTGTTTTAAATGATGACATGTTTTTGATAGAATTTTTTCCAGTAGCCAAAATCACAAGTTATAGTTTTTTCACTTTCTAGTGATGATATGTGCGTGTGTGTGAAAATATTTTAATATTATCAATAAGGTATAATATATAAATAAAAAATTAAATTATTAATAACAATCGTTTCAGCATTCTACCCAAGATTGAAATGACTTCTCAAAAATATAACATTACATTGGAAGAAAACTTCAATATTTCAAAATGACCAAATGAATACCATGTATATTTGCAAGCATGAAGAAAGAAGTAATATGATGTACATTTTTTTTCAAATTGATCCTGTTTCCTGCACTGCACACTGAAGGGTTGTGATTATACTGTACTTTTGATGTAGTTAGAATAAAATGCCCTTAGATCTAAAATAAATGCACATACTTTTTAATCTAAGTTATATGTAATTTATTTAAGAATCTTAATTGACCAAGATAAATTAACCACTTAATTTCAATGTTTCTTCATGGATTCATTAAGACTCATAGGGCAAAAGATAACAAGGTTTGACTGTATAAGTAACCCACAGTAGGAACTATATGCATTTTCAAAAAAGGAACACCAAAATGTACAATGTTTTGACTCAATTTAATTAAAGACTATAATTCTGTTAAATTACAAAACAAAGATGAGAGATCTGATTCAAGAAACTTTTTATTGTGGATGTTTTCATTTTAATTCACATACATCTTTAATACATGGTCAAAAATGATTTCAACAGATATTAATGCATCAAGTTCCATGGGATATCAGTTCAGTAAGTCAACTGTCAGTAGAACGTACTAAATATTAAAAGGTCATATCAAATTTTATAGACATTGATTATTTCAGTATATGTAGCCACACATCTGTTTATATAACTTATCAGCTCCCCGTGCTGAGCCTCAATAGTCTTTTTACTCTCCTTATGAGGGCCTCCACAAAGATGTAGTGGGTCCTGGACTTACAGTATTCCTAAACTTACAAGCAAAAAATGGATTAA